ATAGTCTGTTCTCAATTAATGATTAGTTGAATCACAGATTCCATCATCCTTTACTCAAATACCCAGATTTTCATAATATAACAATTAATAGTTGAAATTTTCTGTATAGATAATTGATACCAAGTCCAACACATACCATTCTCCCATTCAATTTAATATCTATGTTCCCTCTCTTTCTTATGTCACATCTTCTAATTTCTAAATATGTCTCCGGAAGCACATTTTCCTTTAAACAAGCAAAGGAATGAAGAAACTGGACAAAGTAGTGAAAATCATAATGTACCGGGGTTTATAGTCTTTAAGCCTGAGAGGCACATCAAAACCTACAGCACAAATAGGAAGAGGCCTATACTTATCGCATAAATGCATAAGAGTAGTTAGCTTTAAGATGGCATCAGCTGGGCACAGTAGCAAAAGTATAATCCCCTCTGATCTGAAGTTAGCCTAAAGGTATTTCTGAAATGGAGAATTCCATGAGAGATTTTTGAGAAGTTTATCTTGTGGTCCTCAGGATTTTAGGCAATTTCAAAATGATAGAATATACGCAGAAAAATACTTTGGAATTCAATCTCTGCATAAACAACTGCAGAAGGACAGCTCATGGTTTCAGTGCCGTCATGGAAAAGGCTAGACAGTAGTAAATTACCAGGCTGAAAATACTCCCTCCGGTCCTATATATGAGTTTCAATAACCAAATCACACTTAACGAACTAACAACATAAAAGTAGTTAAAATGATAAATAAGTCAGAAATATATTTTTTTTCCCAAATTTGCCCCTTATTATTAAAAGAGTAAATGAGAGAGGCAACCAATAAAAAAATGGTGAAAGAGAATATATCGAAGTAATATAAATGGAGAGAGAGGAGTACTAAATACAGTCAATTAAAGGAAAATAGGAAAAGTAATAAATGCTTAGACAAATTCAAGAATGAAACTTCTATTTTACAACCAGACCCCCTCTCCAAAAAGTGAAGTTTATGTATAGGAATGGAGGGAGATAAGTTTCTCAATCTGTTTATTAGCAAAGATAACTGACTGAGAAAAGCTTTAATCACATAAAGCATTGTCAATAGGCCGCACGTTTCAACCAAACTGCATATACAACTTAAGGTTTGGTATGCCTAATGTATTTCAAAATTAAGTCAACTTTGTATCGTTAGGAAGCAAGCTTTATATTACAGTCCACAGCTGCCATTGCTATTCTTCTCCACATGTGCCGGCAATGATTGCCACTGCGCGCTTAGAACCATTCAAACGAACACTTTTTCGTCATCGTCAAGCATCAGTTCCATACTTGTTCATATTAATCAAGCATGAAAGTTAATTAAATAGGACGGAAAAGAAAACCAACATGAAATTGCGTCAGGATATAATAAGATCCCAGCTTTCTGAAGTAGGATCATTGGGTTCACTCCCAGCTGAGAGCGACAGTGACTTGATAATCGGCAAGAAGACGCCCACCGGCCCTCGCGGTGGTGCGGGCAGCGCCGGTGCAATAAACACTTCGCTAAAAGTCAAACCATAAGACAGCCCCAGAGTACTCTTTCCCCACACCACTTCACGAAGTAAGTCTGTAATCCACATCCCATCACCACCCAGTTTCACAAACCCACGAGCGAAGAAAAAGGAAATCACATCAACCAATAATCTCGTGAGTGAACGCGTTAAAAGCCCGCGGAAAAACTCAGTTTTTTTGTCACAATGGACGTTGTTAAACCTATAAAAGCCCAAGCACCCACTGGCAACGGACTGAGAATAACCCCGCCCATATCGTCGTCAGAGAAAAATCGAGAGCAATTCCACGCTTGAGGGGTAACTTCAACGGGCTTAGGAACTAAGAAGCGAACGATGAGACCAATAGAATGGAGATCAAAAAGGGCAAAGGTTTGGCAGCTTGACCAGCAGGGGGTGAGGATGATGGTGATGCCGGAGAAGATGACGACGAAAGAAGCTTGAATTGTGGTGATTTGCAAATGCGAAGTTCAGCGAGAGGATTTAAGGTGGAAGAATTTGGAGGGAAAGAAGGCGAAAGGATAAACAGTTGATCTGAGAGATGGATTGAAGGGGAATTTGGAGGTGTCGGAATCAGAACGATGACGGAGGAAGGAAGTGGGAGGGGAGAAACGAGAGAACGAAGGTTGGGCGAGTGGAGTGGCAGAAGTGCTAAGCTATCCATTGAGAGCAGCGGGGCAGCCCAGTGAAAGACAGGGAAAAGAGGATTGGCAAATTTGAAATATAAATTCAATTTCAATTTTAATCTAAAAAATGTGATATTTTAATATTAAAATTTTCTAAATAATCTAGCATTGATAATTTTTAGTTGCGTTGGGGCTTATTGTCCAATTTGATATGACACAGATATTTTAAAGTTGCTTTAGACTTTGGCTCAATCAAAATTTAATTCTTAAATCTTGACTGGATACAAATAGGTATATTGAATCCAAATGTAATAAAATATATTTTGTAAAATATTAAATTTAAATTATTCAAATTTTATTTTAATTTAAATAGCATATGAGAGGAGCCATAGGTTTGCACAGAGTAAAAGAGGGAGACATTACTACTAGAAAGTTGACACAGAATTATTAAGGCCTACACTACAATGTTCTTGGTGGTATCAATTTGCTGGTGGCAGCCATATTAATTATATATGCCCTGCTCCCTGTTCAAGCCATAGACACGCAACTTTAGTTTAAGCATTCATTATCTTTCTAGGAGGAGTAACTGGGATGATTTTTCTTACCTTCACGCTTAAATATGTCAGCGATATGAACAACTCATGTATATTCTCTACCCACACCCATAACTTAAAAAGTGTTGGGTAGAAGAAACAATGATTTTAAAAGTGTTTTTATATTATACAAAATAAATATATAGAAAATTTGTCTCGATTTATGAAAAATACTTTTCAAAAGTACTTTTCAGTTATCCCAAACACTCCCCTAATATTCAAGATTCATATGAAAAGATTAGCTAATGCATGTTTTGCAGGTCATAATGTTTTTCTTTTCTATTCTTTTTTTTTAATGTCCGTGCTGAAAGTTAATTCATTTTTATATATGCGATTCTCCCTTTTTCCCTTCTTTTTTCTTTTTTTTTTCTTTTCTTTCATTTTTTTTCGTGTTTTGACATGTGATATATCTAGCTGTTGCTAATTATTCATTTGAAATAAGCTGTGAGATACACAAAACAAACTGATCGTAGCAAAGTGGAATCCTCACAAATATAAGGATCTCCATTCAATCAAACCACGATATCTGAAGAATGTATCCCACTAAGTAAACCGAGAGTCAAGTTATAAGGAAGAAAATCAGTTAATACTTGAAAAAAAGATGGCAATATTGATAAGATCTTATCCAAGCTTTGCGCAACTGAAACCTGTGAGGGATCTTAGAATTCTTTTCAAAATATCTAAAATAAAACAACATTGTGGGGCAAAAGATCTGGTCATCCATCGAAGTCTTCATATGCGCTTGAGGGGAAAATGGACATTCTCGTAGGAATGTGACAAAATTAGGTCTGGTGTACCTGAAATGATGAGAGAAAACAATACCCCAAAAAAAAAAAAACTGGTGTTTAAATTCCAAAATGTCTGATGTTATCATGACAATACTAGTTATCTTTATGTTTGCTTGATATCATGACTGGAAGACGGCAAATTACAACCCCCACTCTGTCTCCTCATATACTCCTCCGGTCCTTAATATAAGACCATTTAACTATTTGATTAGATTAAGGAAGTTAGGTATGTTAGTTAATTATAAGAAAAGTGACACATTTTTTCTAAAATACCATAATCATCTTTTTTTAATATCCTCTCTCCCTCTTCTACTTGATTATGGTTGAGGGAGTATCCATAGGGGTAATTTAGAGAAAAAATGATAATATGAGAAATGGGTCTTATATTTAGGACCAAAACCAACTCAAGAATTGGTCCTATATTAAGGACTGAGGAGTAATTAGCAAGGAAGATAACCATGGTAGAACTATAAGCTTTCAGTATTCAACACGGAACTCTTTCATCCTTTTTTATTTTAAAAATTTCAATAACTGAGCAATATTACCTCATGAAATGATTATCTTCATCGAACTTGCTGTAAATGTTAGATTATGGTTGCTCCAGACTCTCGAACAAGAATATGCCATAGACTTTTGTCTAGATGGAACAACAAACAAAGCACATGCAAAGCTTCATGTGATAGTCACACTTTTCAGTTGGAAATTGGTTCTGTTGTGTTTCTGTAGAAAATTTTAGCGTAGTTTCATCCATCAACACATGATTTTTCCAATTTTCTTTTTATGGGCAAGCACATGAGTTAATATATTTTAACCTCATCTTTCATCCACTCATGCATTAGGGTCCTAACGAGAATGAAAGGATTAGCATGAGATATCAGAGACTTCGTATTGAGAACCTCACAGCAAGCTCTTGGCAATTAGCATCCTCATCCTCCAATAATCCACAGAACATACAGGCTCTCGTGTAAAGTGGAAAACTATTTGCACAAAAGCCAGTTTATTTGAATAATTTTTTCCACTAGAAATGAAATGAAAACGCCACAAACTTATTTTGCTGTCCTGTCAAACGATGCACAATAAGTCCCACATAATCCATGCACCAGCAACTAATGTATTATATATCCATGGTTGAAAGAAAACCGAACAACTTAGTATCCTACATATGCCTTAAATAAAGTTTAAAACATCGGGAACTAAATAAAAGCATTCATCATTCTAGATAATATCGATTGAGGTCAATGAGAATTATAACTTCAAAATGATTTAAACTATTGAGGGTTCATTTCAACCACAAGTGCTTAGACAAAAAAAATCTACAAGGTAATAATTAAGATTTAGGATCAAACCTCTCGAATGCCAATGCTGTCAATTGGTAGAAGGCTTTCTGCATGATCGAAAACAACTGAAAATTCATTGCTACATCTGCCAGTAGCTATCTTCCTCAATTCGTTAGTTCTAAGATTTGACAGACACAGAACAGTTAACACTTCAGTGTTCTCTTCAGATTCAGTTTCATCAAAGATTCCAAACGTTTCATTAATGTTCTCTTCCCATTCAGTTTCCCCAAAGGTTCCAAACATTTCATTCACTTCAATGTTCTCTTCACATTCAGTTTTACTTACAATTCCAGACATTTCATTACCATTGCAGACAAGTTCATCCCTCCAAATACATAACGGATCTATCCTCCAAATACCTGATGGATGCTCCGAGTCTGTAAAGGTGATTAGAGAATACTTCTTAGTCCAACTCCATCTCTCTTTAGGTACACCGATACCTTCCTCCACCACCCACAAATCAATATAGTAAGAATCAGTTGTAAAAGATACACCCTCTAGAAAGTGAGAAATCACAGCAAGTTTGTTTTCATATACAGTAAGCTTATAGCCTGAATACTTATGACTTTTGTCTAAAGGAGGCATTGGTATCAATGTAAAGGCTTCCATTGCTATGTCAAATGAAACGACCAAATCCTCCTCCATATCATACCAAAACATAGCTCCATTAGCAGTGACAGTATCAGAATTAAGATTTACACCCTTTAAGTTCTCAAATTTTATTTCCTTCCATCTCTGTGTGCTCAAAGAATAGACTTCCACTCGATTAACCTCATCCTCATCTTCAGGAACATAAGCTCTCAATATCTTGTAGTCATTAACAATTGGACTGAACCCATATCCTACATAGATTCTACCCTCAAAATCATAAACAGTGCTGTGCACCTGTCTGATCTTTCTAGTTGCTGGATTCCACAAGAAAAGCGAATGAACTCCATCATTAGAACATCTGACACAAAGCAAGCCATTGCTGGAACCAACGATCTCAGCATGAACCGAGGACCCAAAAGGAATGTTCTGAACTTCATGGAGTTGCTTCTCGCAGTCGAGCAAGCATAAGTCGAAAGGAAGACCCTTGTCACTGCCACTCCGTTGGAAAAGAAGAGAGGGGTTGTGATGAGTTGAGTGGCAGAGGTGGTCAGCAATGAAAGACGGGGCCTTGATGAAATTTTTCCATTGTTTGCATACACATTGAAATCGCATTAGGGATTTTACTGGAAGTCGTTTGAGAATGTTTCTGATGATTTCTTCAGGAAGATATTGTGTGGTCCCATCAACAATCTTCTGTCCCCTAGTGTTCACCTGGGAAAAACAAAATGCTATGAACAATGAGAAAGAATGGGTTGGTGAAACAAAGAAACAGATTGTGCATTGTGCACTTCACAAAAAAATTCCTCACAAATACTCTTCTGAGCCACCAAGATCTACAGAGCACGCACACCCTCTTGTAAGGTAGAAACCAACTTGCATAATCCTAAACTGTAAATCTTAAATTGACGATCCTAGCACAATACAGAATCAATCAAAGGTTGGTTCTGAATTTCAAGGACTTGCATCTCACAATAGAGCAAATATAAATGCAAAGGATTCCCTCTGCCACTCATTTGGAAAAGAAGAGAAGGGTTTGATTATTGGAGTGTGAGTTGCTTCCAGTGGAATTCAAATAATGAAATGAAGTAAAAAAAGAATAAAATGAAAAATGACCTTTTGGGTGCAAAATGTCTTTTGAAAATTGATAAGCGACCATTATTAGTGAATAGATATGTTAGAACTAAAGGTAACTAAGAAAGAATAAAGGTATAAAGGTAACTAAGAAAGCAGGTACACATGCATTATACCAACAAGTACCTCAAATAATGTCAACAAAACATGACAGACTACAGAGTATAACAACAACAAACCTTATCCTAATATGGGGTCAGCTACTGATTACACAATGCCATTGTGCTCCATTAACAACCAAATCCTTAGATAGGAAAAATATAACTTATAAAGAAATGAAAAGCATATCTTTGAAATTAACTGTGATGTGCAAGATACAAATTATCCTGTTGAAATACATTCTTCTTCACTGATAGGCAACTTGCCATGAAAGTGTTAATCAGAGCTTATGTTTTATAAAAAATTTTTACTTTATATCTATAGGTATGCACTTCAAATTACATCGTTTGACACCTCATGGTTAAATTCAAAATAAAAACTATAAGGTAAAATCAAAAATAAAAATAACAATTGGAAACAAGGATCAAAAGGAAGATGAAAACAAAAAATTGCCAGAGGGAAACAGGAACTCAAATCTTTTATAGCACCTACCACACGCACAAAATAATATATAAAACTCAAACCCATTGCATTAGTTCTCTCTTAAGATCTAGGATCAAACCTCTTGAATACGGATGCTGTCAATCAGTACAAGGCTTTCTGCATGATTGAAAACAACTGAAAATTCATTGCTACATCTGCCAGTAGCTATCTTCCTCAATTCGTTAGTTCTAAGATTTGACAGACACAGAACAGTTAACACTTCAGTGTTCTCTTCAGATTCAGTTTCATCAAAGATTCCAAACGTTTCATTAATGTTCTCTTCCCATTCAGTTTCCCCAACGGTTCCAAACATTTCATTCACTTCAATGTTCTCTTCACATTCAGTTTTACTTACAATTCCAGACATTTCATTACCATTGCAGACAAGTTCATCCCTCCAAATGCATAACGGATCTATCCTCCAAATACCTGATGGATGCTCCGAGTCTGTAAAGGTGATTAGAGAATACTTCTTAGTCCAACTCCATCTCTCTTTAGGTACACCGATACCTTCCTCCACCACCCACAAATCAATATAGTAAGAATCAGTTGTAAAAGATACACCCTCTAGAAAGTGAGAAACCACAGCAAGTTTGTTTTCATATACAGTAAGCTTATTATGCCCTGAATACTTACGACTTTCGTCTAAAGGAGGCATTGGTATCAATGTAAAGGCTTCTATTGCTATGTCAAATGAAACGACCAAATCCTCCTCCATATCATACCAAAACATAGCTCCATTAGCAGTGACAGCATCAGAATTAAGATTTACACCCTTTAAGTTCTCAAATTTTATTTCCTTCCATCTCTGTGTGCTCAAAGAATAGACTTCCACTCGATTAACCTCATCCTCATCTTCAGGAACATAAGCTCTCAATATCTTGTAGTCATTGACGATTGGACTGAATCCATATCCTACATAGATTCTACCCTCAAAATCATAAATATCGCTGTGCACCTGTCTGATACTTCTAATCGCTGGATTCCACAAGAAAAGCGAAGGAACTCGATCACCAGAACATTCGACACAGAGCACGCCATTACTGGAACCGACGATCCTAACACGAACCGAGGAATCGAAAGGAACGTCCTGAACTTCGTGGAGTTGCTTCCCGCAGTCGAGCAAGCGTAAGTCTAAAGGAATACCCTTGCCACTGCCACTCCGTTGGAAAAGAAGGGAAGGATTGTGATGAGTGGAGTGGTGGAGGTGTTCAGTGATGAAAGATGGTGTTTTGATAAGATTTTTCCATTGTTTACACACACATTGAAATCGCATTAGGGATTTCACCGGAAGTCGTTTGAGAATGTTTGTGATGATAGCTTGAGGAAGAAGTTTTGGGTCGCCATGCACCGTCGTCTGCTCCATAGTGTCCAGCTTGGAAGAACAACCCATCCGCAATGAACGAAAACTACCTTGCATTAGGCATGTTAGGGATTGCGAGGGATCCGGCATAAGTATTTTTCTTTTATCAATGCTCGTTCCCTCTTATTTATAAGTTTTAAATTTGAGAATACGTTGGTTCATTTTATAAATTTAATTTAAGTTTGTCTTGATATTTAATTTTTTTAATATTATTTTTAATTATTTCTTTCTTATAACGTTTCTTCACATAAGGGTATGATTTGCCAATCAATGAGTTTTGTTTGTCAATTTCTATAAATTTTTAAACACTAAAAAATACTTCTTCGGATCTTGTAAATAAGTTTTGAATTTTGGGAATATGTGTGGTTCAATTTGTTTTAATATTTAATGTACTTTTTTAAGGTTGTTTTTAATTATTTTTCTTTTATAACATTTCCTCATATAATGCATTTCATTCTTTTTATCATTTATTATAAAAGTATACTTAAAAACAAAATATATTTATAACATATTTATTGTTTTAAATTAATTTTAACTAATTGTTTCTTTATTTGTGAATTGGTTATTTGAAACTTATAATAAGAATAAAAAAAAGAGCATATGATTTGATTAAATATTTTAATTTTAATAAATGATGGTATTACCATAAAATTGATTGAGAAGTAATTTTTTAGAAAAATGACCACAAAATACTATATGAATTTTAAAAAAAATAAAGAAGGCATCCAAATAAACAAAATGACAAAGAAAGCATTAAATACCAATATGAAATTTTGATTTTTGGCCTAGAGACCAAAATGTCCTTATTATGTTTTTTTATAGAAAAGTTGCTCAGCCCCTCAAAACAGGTTGCAAAACTCATTGACAAAGTAGTAACTCTTATTATGAAAGTTGTAAATGGCGCTATGTATTTTGTAAAATTTAACGTGGAATTGTATTGTTTTTTACAGAAAGTTGCCCAGCCCCTCAAAACAGATTACAAAACCCATTGACGAAGTAGTAAATCTCACTATGAAAGATGTAAATCCCATAATGTGTTTTGTAAAATTCGTCATGGAATTATATTGTTTTTTTATAGAAAAGTTGTCCAGCCCATCAAAACATCTTTCAAAATCCATTGACGAAGTAGTAACTCTCACTATGAAAGTTGTAAATCTCACTATGTGTTTTGTAAAATTCAGCATGGAATTGTATTGTTTTTTACAAAAAAGTTGCTCAACTCTTCAAAACAGGTTGCAAAACCCATTGATAAAGTAGTAACTCTCACTATAAAAGTTGTAAATCCTACTGTGTTTTGTAATAATAAGGGCATTTCGGTCTTTATGTCAAAAATAAAATTCCAGATTGGTACTTGATGCCTTCTTTGTCACTTTGTTTATTTGGATACCTTATTTATCTTTTTGAAATTCATATGGTATTTTGTGGTCATTTTTTCTAATTTTTTCTAATTTTTTCCTAAAATATATGTTTGGTCTTATAATATACATCAAATTTCCTTTTAGTCCCTTAAAAATTTAGAGTCTTTTCTGGGAAAAAAGAAATTTAAACACCCTGGAAGTTATCAAATTTCAACTCATGTATCGATTATACAGAGGATTCACAGTCAGAATCTCAATACTACCTCCAATCCTTAATATAAAAAGCTAATTGATTAACTTGGGTAGATTAAGAAAATTAGTTAAGTTAATTATTTGTAATAAATATGTATTATCTTTTCTAAAATATCCATACTAGTCAAGTGTATTGGTTAGAACCATTATTATTACAAGGACTGCCTTAGAAAAAAAATAAATATGATAAACAAAATAGATTATAGTCTTATATTTAAGATCAAATAAAAATTAAATGAGATCTTATATTAAACCAAACCATAGTTTAAAGAATAGCTTCTAAAAAATAGATTTTTGGAGAATAGATTTTGTGAAAAAGTGATTCTGATAAAGTGAGAGTGTTTAGATAGTTGTTATCAAAAGTACTTTTTATATGTATGAGTGAGTGGGTTATACTTTCACCAAAAATGATTTTGTAAATACTTATAGTTTTTTAAAATTTTTTTTAATGTGGTGCCTATGTTTTTAATTTTCTTTATTAAATCATTTCATTTTGTTTTATTTGTATTGGTTGACTTCTGAACAAGAGCTAACTTTGCCAACAAAGTAAAGTGGTTTTAAGTTTTAACGGGGGAAAACCTCAATGTCAAATTTAAAATTAAAAAATATAGTTACCTATAAAATGATTTTTTTTTCTAGTCCCACTATTTAATAAGATGTATATTAATCCTGATGAGTTTTTAGATTTATATGGTCACCCAAATTATACTTAAGGAAAGAGAAAAAATGGGAATCACATTGACATTGGTTCAAACTTTAGCAATCCTTATGTAAATCACAGGAACGGTTTGAAATAACTTATAAGTAGTTTTTTAATTATAATTTACAAAATATGAGGTAAATATATAAGAAAAATTTTGTATCAACTTACATAAAACGTGTTTATAAGTAATTTTAGTCATGATAACAAGCAGTGCCATAAACAATAAGGTCAAAGTGAGATGGGTGGTCCCTTGCATTCTCATGAATACAGGAACAAACATTAAATTTTATAATTTATAAATATAACATGAAATTATACATAACTCGCCTGTCTTTTATATTATATTATATATATAATCTCTTTAAAATTTGAATTTTATAATAAAACTTTCCTAACTTTTTTACAATTATGCATATAATTTTCATACTAATAGGAGAATTATATGCATATAACTCAAAGTTTAAAGTTAGGAGTCATATACTTACAAAAATATAATTTAAGAGAGAATATGTAATCGATGGTTGGGGTTTATTTGTACAGAGTTGAAAGTTTAAAAGAATTTGTTATTAAATTCTACAAGTTAAAAAAGTTATTACACATTTAACATTTTTTGTTTATTTATTTTAATAATTTAAAATTTTAATAATAATTTTATAAAATATTGAATGTCAACCATTGCATGATGCAATGATTAAAATGAAAAAATAATTAAATAAAGTGTGACTATTTTTGTTTTTATTGCATCTTTTATTGTTCAAATTAAGTTTTGACATTTTCATTATAAATAAAGAGAAGGCTAATAGCAAAATAGATATAGAGAGCCGGAGAGGTTGACTTGGTGGCCATTTAAAAACGGCTACCTCAATCTCAAACTTGCGAATCTCCTTCGTTTCCATCTCTTTTCCGCACCCACCATTGCTTTCCAATGGAGAGCTTCGCACTTCACTCTCTCTCCACCTCAACTTCCTTCTCTCGCACTTCCTTCCTCCGTCCTCGTTCTCGCCCACTCTCCAAATCTCATTTGTCTCTTCCGTTGACTCCCACTTCTCCTTCAGCTCCATCTCTCAGATCAACCGTCTCTTGTTTCTCCTTCTTTCCCTCCAAATCTTCTTCCACCTTCAATCCTCTCTCTAAGCCCCGCATTGTAAATCACCCAGTTCAAGCTTCTTCGTCGTCATCTTCACCCGCATTATCGTCATCCTCAACCCCAGTTTCTCAAGGCGCCAGACCTTTACCATTTTTTATCTCCATTTCTATTGGTCTCATCGTTCGCTTCTTGGTTCCTAAGCCCGTTGAGGTTGCTCCTCAAGCGTGGCAGTTGCTCTCGATTTTTCTATCGACCATTGCGGGTCTGGTTCTGAGTCCTTTGCCGGTGGGAGCTTGGGCTTTTATTGGTTTAACGACCTCTGTCGTGACAAAAACACTGACTTTCTCTGCAGCTTTTAGCGCGTTCACAGACCAGGTCATTTGGTTGATTGTGATTTCCTTCTTCTTCGCCCGTGGGTTTGTGAAAACTGGGTTGGGGGATAGGATTGCGAATTATTTCGTGAAGTGTTTGGGAAAGAGTACATTGGGACTGTCTTATGGGTTGACTTTTGGCGAAGTGCTTATTGCACCGGCGATGCCCAGCACCACCGCGAGGGCTGGCGGCATCTTCTTGCCGATTATCAAGTCATTGTCCCTCTCAGCTGGGAGTGAACCCAATCATCCTACTTCCAGAAAGCTGGGCTCTTATCTTGTCCAGACCCAATTACAGGTTGGTTTTTTTTTCCGGCCTATTCATGATTAGCATGCAAATGTACGAAAATGATGCTTCGTGATGAGGAAAACTGTTCATTTAAATGCCTTTAAAATGATTTTAAGTTTTGCTATCTTTCAAGTAGTAATTAATTGGGAACAGAACATAAATTTCATTTTTCTTTTCTAATTTAGTTGCTGTGAAACGACTTGGAAACTTTCCTGGACATACTTGATTGGGTGCGTGCTTTATTGTATTTCAAAATGGCATCTTCTTTCTAAGTGCGCTTAAAATGGCTATGGTGATTCTGAGTTTTAGAAACGGTCATCATAAATTCTGATGTTGTCGGATTCTCTGCGTCATGTGTGTTACATCTTCTTTGAGATCTACCATCATTTCCTCATAAAAACAGATCTATCATCATTTGATGATGAAGTGACTTGTACACTGTTGTGCCTGTGACAGTCTGCTGGTAATTCTAGTGCTCTTTTCCTAACTGCTGCTGCTCAAAACCTGCTATGTCTTAAATTAGCAGAGGAGCTTGGGGTGATAATTGCAAATCCATGGATCACATGGTTTAAAGCGGCTAGTTTACCTGCACTGATTTCTCTTCTTGCTACACCATTGATTTTATACAAACTATATCCACCTCAAATGAAAGACACACCAGAGGCGCCTGCCATGGCTGCGGTCAAACTGGAAAGTATGGGTCCTGTCACTCGAAATGAATGGATTATGATTGGCACAATGCTGCTTGCAGTCTCTTTGTGGATCTTTGGGTATGTCTGATATCTTATTTCAAATCATTTGAAATTTATCTGTTATTTAAATTATTTGTATAAATAATTATCTTGTTATGATATTTTATATGCATGATCAATATAATAATTTCCATGATACAAGTGTCAAACTCATATAGTTGGAATTCATATTTTATAGGAATGTATTTGACAGTTAGCCTGTGTCATGTTATACTAGTATTAATGGATATTACACACACAGAAGGAATATCCAATAATGCCAGCATGACATGACGAACTCTGAGTCTCTTACCAGCAAATGATTTAAAACTGTATTTCATCTATGCTACAGAGTATATATTCAATCTGTTTGCCCTTTGGCTGGAGCACATGATTAGAAACTGAAAATGTGACAATTTGAAATAAAACAGAGGATTCAAGTTAGTTTTTGAGAAGTACTCTCCAATCTGTACATTTTCTGGGCTTATATAATGAAATAATGAATTCAAACAAGATTATATAGTTAAACTTTTTTGCCTACCTATACATCACTTAATCATCACATCCGTATTGATGTTTCTAGCAATGTGAAACTTGTTACATATGCACATAATTCTTCTCTTTTAATGAAAATTCTTGTAATTGAACTGCATGCAATCAATATTTCTTGATCCTGCAGAGGGACTCTTGGTATACCGAGTACTGTAGCTGCAATGATTGGCTTATCAATACTCCTTGTATTTGGAGTCCTTGATTGGAATGATTGCTTGAATGAAAAATCAGCATGGGATACCCTGTCTTGGTTTGCTGTTCTGGTGGGGATGGCTGGCCAGTTGACAAACCTTGGCATTGTAGGTTGGATGTCTACCTGTGTGGCCAAGTCTCTTCAGTCTTTCTCTCTGAGCTGGCCTGCCTCGCTTCTTGTTCTTCTGGCATCTTATTTTTCCATCCACTACGTCTTTGCAAGTCAGATAGGACATGTTGGAGCTTTATACTCTGCTTTTCTTGCCATGAACCGGGCAGCCGGTGTTCCCGTTGTGGTGGCAGCACTGGCTCTAGCTTATGTCACTAATCTTTTTGGTTCAATAACACACTATAGCAGTGGTCAGGCTGCTATATATTATGGAGGTATGATCCCCACTTCAATGCCTTGGTTATTTCCTCGTTCGTGAATTCTCCTTTCATCTGTTTAACTATTTATCTTGTGTTTATTGAGTAATTTAGTTATGATTTCTTGGAACCATGCATATTGGCCATGGCCCACAAAAGAGAGTAACCAAATGAACCCAGACATACATGAGGAAATGGTAAGCTGGCAAGGAGAAAAGAGAGGGGGTTGGTTAGTGAGAGAGAGATATATAGGACAGCTTTAGGGAGAGCAGGGGCTAGTGTGGTGACATAGCCACTTGAAAGCTAGTGTGGTGTGCTGCCATTTTTATTTTTGTCATTTTTCTTCCTCTGCAATTCATCTGAATCAATATTCTGTATTTGACCTTCAATTAGATAGTATATCTCAACTTTCATTGTACAAGTACTACAAGATTATTATGGTTCCATCATATATCAAGGTTCAATTGCATACATCTATCAATCTTAATATCTTATGGACAATATGTTAATCTTCTAGGAGACCAATTTTCTCCATGCTCTTCCGTTGATTCTATTAGTAACCTTCAGCCACAAGGGTATTCCTTGTGAATGCATGTCTAATCTTAATTTAACATCCCTTCCCTCCTCGTTCTTTCTTATCAATATCAAGATATGCTAAAGCCTGGTACCTGATGATATTATATTTTTCTTGTCTTTTTGACAGCTGGTTATGTAGACCTTCCCGATATATTCAAAATTGGGTTCATTATGGCGTGTTTTAATGCTATCGTCTGGGGAGGTGTAGGCTCTTTCTGGTGGAAATTTTTGGGCTTGTATTGATTTTCCATTTCAATGTAAGTAATATCGCTTCAGCCAGCCATTCTTCTTTGCAGCCAAAAGAACATGTCTTCCATTTGAGGACAATTGAGCTCATCATTTTGCCATAGTCATTAAAATCTATTTTTAGTTTTTTATCGATTAGTCAATATCTTTATGGTTATCATTTCTTTATTGCATGCAGTCCACAACATATGGATAATTATTTTGATACGAATCTAAATTGAAGGTCTGAACTGATTTGATCTTCCTTTTTGGCAAAGGTTTGCATGTTTAATCAATTAACCTAACATTTCAATATTTAAATATTCTGACTTAGTGAGCCCTCTTAAAAACCACGAAACTATTAGTGGTATAACTTTTCTCTTGCATTTGAAGTTGAAATTTGAGTCAGCATATCATTCATGTCAAATTTGAGGAGAATGATGTATCCAAAATCTCAAGTAGCTTGAGACATTCAATGTGCTAAAAGTCCGTGGTGGACTTGTCCTGTCCTAGCCTCAGCACTGTACTCAGGAAGAGAGTCAGGAATTAATGCCCTTTGTGTAGATTCCACACAGCCTTGAAAAGTGAATAGGTAAAAGAAAAAAAGCTAACAAAATAATGTGAAAAGAGGTAAAAGCTAATGAAATAAGACCACTATAAGGAAAAAGGGAAACAGGACAAGCAAAGGTCACTAAATAAATATCGAAATGTCTAAAACCTAGGGCTTGTAAAGGAAACTATCAAACACAAGAAAATACTCCCTTTGATCTTTTTTAGAAGGACCCATTAACTGCTTTCTGCAGAATAGGTAATTCTGTTGAAATTAGTTAATGCTTTAGAATTTCAAAATCACCCTCTCTGTAGTTCATGAATTAGGGGGGGCTGTTTAGTTAGCGATGAGTTGGTTTAATTAGTTTGGAAATGTCAAATCAAAGGATATTTAGAACGGAAAATCAATATTTTTTTTGGGTGAAAGGGGAAAATTAATATTTTGGGCAAAGGATATTATAGTAAGATTATTTGTTTTCAAATAATTACCCATCTCAGTGAGGAATGACCATAGCATTCATTGCTGAAGTCTTGCATTGGCAGGGGAAAGAATAGCTTACGTTAAGGGGCTTGATTATTGGTAAAACTATGATTTATTTTAATGAATGTGTAGATTTTTATTCTATACTTTCATTCGTAAATTTCCAAAAATATCACTTGTTTGGTTCATTTGTCCAAAAATATCACTTGTTTGGTGGTCCGCTCTGGTGTAAAGGCAAGTGAAAGAGGAAGCTGATTCCTTTGTCATTGATTTCTGGTTGATGGAAAGGCCTTCCTTGTTCATGCTTTTGTGTATCTGTACTTTTTTTTTTTTTTTTGTGTATCTACATTTAATTTGTTCTATTGTCTCTGATCTAGTTATTTAGTGTGGAATCTCCGTAAATCATCTGTCTTTATATTCTAGGATTTCGCTGCCTTCATGGTGGCCTTATTTTCGAAGGCTCAATGGCAATTTTTTTTTTTTTTTTTGGGGTCATCTGCTTCTTCCCTGTACAATTTCCTCTTTCACGATAAATAGAAATAGAAAATTTCATAGTGATTATTTTCTGCGAAATTTCAAAGAAGATTTATACTGATTTTTGGAAGAAACCATGAAATAGCACAAAAGGAGACTGCAATGAAGAAGCCACAAGTTCAACATAGCGTCGGCCTGCATGAATCCTTCTGAGTCAACCAACCTAAAATTTTCTTTTTGCCTTCATCCAAAAAAAATGAGATGAGACAACACAGAAATTACTCTAAGCCTACATTGTTCTTGGGCGATACAACTTGCAAGTGGCGACTACATCAATTAGGATAAAAATGGATCCACCTTGCAAACATTTCGCAGGATCTTCTATTGCAGTACTCTCCAGGAGAATGCCCGAGCCTTGTGCGGCCTTAAAGCTAACAATGGATATGGGTCAATTTGGATTAGTAGTAGAAAATTTTTTATTTTCAAATTTGACTCTTAAAAAAATTAGATTGAGTAATGTGATTTATATTTAAATTAAATGTTATAAAAGTTAATTTGTAAATATTAGATTAGGTAAAATTGTTTAGATTATGATTGAATAAGTAGGTGTAGTTTGTAAAATTATTAAAATGGGTATAACTTTTATTAAATAATAAAAAATAAAAAAATTAGATTATTTTAATAGAAAGAAGTGAAATTTAAGACCAAAATATATTTTTAAAAAATTAGAAATATTATAAAAAGCTTTGTACCCAATCGTGCTCAACAGCTTTGTATGGTTTTTCACAGCCTAGGTCCCATGATATGCAAGTTATAAAGCAGAATGGACTGCAAGGAATCGGAGATACAAGAAGCTTTCGGCTCAGTTGAAGATGTTTAATATAAAACCTTCTTTTGTTTAAAGCCGAGTTGCAACTAAATTGGAAAATATTTTTGCCAACTCATTAAATTATAGATGATAAGAATAATAATATAAAAAGTACTTGGAAAAAGACACACACACAAGGGGTTAAACCACAGGCCAGTTAAAAATTCAAGAACCAAGTCCTATCGAGTTATGATTGGGAAATTGAGAGAACAACCACCCTTCAGTCCTCCAAGATGGTGGAGCAAAATCAATGAATTGCAGAAAAACAGTGAGAGAGCATATTTATAAATAACATGCATAAACAGAATCATGTTTACATGACAGACAAGTGTGCACACAGGTGAATGACTCAGCATTTAAAATACAAAACGCAGCGTGTGATCATCACCGAGCTGAATGAGACCCCCGGGATTCCTAGTGCGGCAAGTGTGACGGTCATTTTCCAAGATCTAGGTCGTGTCACTGTTATCTATACTTGTTTGTAATTTTGTGTCACAAGTATTTCATTCGTACCTTCTAAACTGAAGATTTACTCAATGCCCACTACCACACATCGGAAGGATCCTCATCATGTGACCAAAAAAATAAAAAAAATAAAAAAAAAACTTCACAGCAGTTTTGCGTCTCAATTACTACTGAGAAGCCTCCCCAACAAATAGGATGTTCTAAGCATCCCTAAGATAAACACATTGTCTTAAATTACAAGTCAATTTTCAATGCCTCTACACTGTTATCAAATATTCAAACGCACAATTTCCTACTCACCAATGATAGTGTCTTAAATACATCTGCCTGAAATAAAGCCAACCTGGAAGGGGTTAATACAGCATCGATCCATTCACATCATCAATCTGTCCGCTCACATCTTAGTCAAGGTCTTGTGGGAAAAAATCTCGGATCAGGAAAATCATCCGACACCTCCTTACCATAAAGGTGATACAAAATAGTTCACATTAGAACCTTTCTCTGCATAAGACAAAGTTGTACAAACCTTGCGTTTCCATAGCTAGATAATTCCTCCCAAGTCTATATTGGATATATTGCTTCAGTTCGAGTCAACAATATTAGGGGAGATGTTGTACTTAAGGCGTGAGTGTAAAATGATAACAAAGCACAAATAATAAATAGAATGCCCCTGCTAAAAAGAAATATCAGACAAACCTTGTTGTTTAGAGAAACACCTAATAATACAACGAGGTCAAAATATTCTCATGTCATGAATACGTGCTCACATGGTCATTACTTACCAACCAAACTAGTATATAATAGTGCCTGTTCATGGTGTCCAACATCTTTAAACGAACATCATCAATTCAGGTCTGCTGTATACATTGTTATGCTCGTCCTCCAGGATGGGGTAAGCAGCTACAAGGGCATCCTGAGCTCCGATGTAAAGTGAGTTGTAGATCTTCCAGTACACTTCTCTAACCTTACGCGCTGGGTGAAACAGTCCTTGGAGGCAATAGTTAAGTACAACCGCGGCACCCAAAGCTACCCTCATTCCTTCAATGGCTTCCATGACAGCGTTTATGACATGAGGAGAGGTCTCAAATATATTTGGCCAGACATAGTTCAACAAATGGACCAGGGCATCCTCACAACCCAAACCAGCCACACCCAAAGCCATGTGCTTCACAGCAGAAGCAGCAGTCTGCCTGTGAACTAAATCCCTGTCCATGAGAGCATCCTCAAGTAATGGAGTCACAGCATAGATATAGTCTTTTCCCATTTCACCAATGTACTCGAACAGGAAAGAAAGGGATTTCAAAACACCATTCTGCACATTAAGCTCTGGCACACGATACTCGTTCATCAGAGCTGGCAGAACTGTAAAAGGCGAACAGGTTTCAGCAACTATGGCAATAGCAACAGTTGTGCAAACACGGTTTTGCCTCTCCTGCACCTTGAGGTTATTTAATAAAGTGGCCAAGACGTCTTGTGGTCCAATGGCTTTGGCAATATATCCAAAAGTGTTCACTGTAGCTCTACGAATTCCCTTCTTGTGTGCCTTGAGCATCTCAAGAAGCTCAAAGCAGATTCTCATCCACTCTCTTGCAGGCACAAACTCAGCCCCACGGTCAGCAATCCTACCTACAAGATCAATACAGTTCTCCTGGACCTTCTCATGCCTGTTCTTCAAAATTGGGGTTAAGCGGGGTAGCAGATCCTTAATAGGTGGAGTCATCTTTGTCATACCAATAACATTGACAATGGACTTGAGTGCTCCAAGAATTGAACCTAAAACTTCAGGATACTCTTCTCCCAGATACTCATACAACACAACACCAAGATGACCCATCAATTGCTCTTCTTGGCACTGCTTCATTACCACAGCAATTCTTGAAATAAGATCTGCTGCTTGCTGCCTCACCTTTGCACTCTTGTTATTTAACCGCCACTTGATTGTACCACAAATCTGAGGAAGATAAGGCTTTACCCTCTGCCCAAGAGCATTCACAACTGCACCAAATCCGTTAAGCATCACATTAGCATCATCACTGGTTTGTTCTTGGAATGCATAAAGAATACCATCGATCAGTAGCTCTTCCAACCTAGCATCTATATCAGATGCACCCAGGTTGGTAACCACCTTCTCAATAGTTTCCATCACCATTCGCCTGTAAGGCTCACTCTCATCCTTAAGGTCCTCAACAATTCTCCCGACTATATCAGCCACACCAACTTTGTTAGCAATCTCTACAGTTGTATCTACAAGTTGCCTATAATTTCTTCTATCCAAAGC